CAGCTGAACAACACAACTAAGGAGTGTCCTGCACGAACATGGAAGCAAACTCTGCCGAGGAAGAGGAAACCTCCCAAAAACCTCAGCGAGTGCCCTCATCTCGATAACCCCAAAAGCCCTATCTATCTAGGACACGAATGCACAACTATAAATAGGTATTCCCCGCTCGAGGTAAGGGACTTTTGGAACTGCACTCTTTGAATACCTCTTGACACTATCTCTTCTGCTCAAACCAACGCTATTTCAACTTGCTAGTCCCGACCACATCCTTCTTTATCCTACTGACTTGAGCGTCAGAGTACCTACCCAATGAGCAACTCCTTGGGCCTCTGACCCTTCTCCTGGTTGTAGATCTCGGTGTGTGGCTTCGTCCTTCCACCTTGGCCTCGCCCATTTGACTTTTCTTGTTAATGTTGACAGGTAAAAACAGTAAAATAAAGAAAATAAGTGGTAGAATAGTCAAAATATAGTTAATGTGTGCTGTTTTATTGTCGTGTTTTGGGTTGATCGATACAAATCTGTGGGGAATACATGTTGTTGCATTGTATATGGGTGTGTGATTTCAACTATAAAATGCATATATGTGATAAACATCAAATCTGACATTTTTAGATATAAACAAAACTTTTTATAGACCAACTTAAAAAGCTCTTCATAACTTTTCTGGTAGATTAATCATATTTTCTCATAAATTTGAATTCATCAACCCAAAACATAAATCAATGAAGCATCATTGTACCAAATACCCCCATAATAGTTGCATATGTTTTGTGTTTTAGAATTATGTAGAAAAATGGCATAATAATAGCTTTGTGCATGTATTAATTTCTAAAAAACTATATAATGTGTATTTTTTTGATGTTATGTGTTTTGGACACTTATTGATGCATTATCAATTAAATGTATGATATCTGTGTATCTCATTATATTAATTGTAATGTATTTTTTCATATATATCATTCAAATATACATTTTTTATATGTTTATATATTATTTATTGTTTTTTTAACCTTAAATTTGATATTATTAATGTATTTATGGGTTCTATATGTACTTCCCTAATGTACCCAAACATTTTCATATCATTTTGTTTATATTGGTGCATTTCTAAAACCTATATGAATCCCTATCCAAGCTGTTTGATACAATATACAATACTAATACTTTAACCATTGACATTGGATGCTAATTGGCTAATTTGTGTTTTGTTTGATTTTGTTAAAGGGTAAAATACTTTAACTACCCTTAAGTGTCAGAATGGATTGTAACTTACTTATTGTTTGAAATTTCCCTTAAAGTACCCTTAGGATTTTTGATAATCGGCAATTGTTAACAACCTTTAACGGGGATATGGAAAAATGTTATTTTACCAATACTTTTATTCAAAATGTCAAAATGGTAACATTTGAATAAATAACGTAAGTAGGATGCGAATAGAGAAGTTATTAAGCAACAAATACAAAGAGCACAAGTTGACTGAATTTAAGTAAAATTGGGTAAGCCACCGACGCACACTGTTTTAAAAGGCCCTCAAAGTGAGGCTAGGAAAAAAAGGCTTGGCCTCAATAACTTTATACCTCACTGGCAAGGCTTAGGCATTAAAAGTTATTTGAGGCTTATGCCTTTGGACCTTTGGCCTCAAAAACCCAAGGCTTGGGCCTTAATTATTTGGCATGATAGTTTGAATATGAATGTTTAAAACATAAATTTAAGATGAAAAAAGAATGTCTTGTTTTGTATATATTGGGGTATGGAACAAATAAATAAGCATACTAATAACAAATAAATGCATATAAACGTGTAAAAAAATTGCTTTGTTATTTATTCTTTATTCCTGCCCACTTTGCCCATTTACTTTTACCCCATACTTGACGATCTATTTATTCTAAAGCACACACATCAAATAGATGGTCACTATTCACCAATGCATACAAGTGCAATGAAGGAAATATGAATACCTTGTTATAACATGGTTGGTTCATATCCCTAAATTTTAAAAGTTTGACTTATATGGTTTTATTATTCTAGTGTTTAGATTTTAAGGAAAAAGAAAAACTACTTTTATAAGATTTTAACCCATGCAAGGTTCAAAACATTGATACTATATGCCCCTGTATATGTCAAGCATATCGTATTGTATCTTTAGGGTATTGTTACTCCTTTTAAGGTGTTAAAAAACTATATTTTTAGTGATTAAATAACATAAACTTGTACCTTGTTTGAAAATTTGAAAACAAAATAAAAGAAAATATGTGTATGGTTCAATGCTTGATACACCCCTTTCAACATATTAGGGTACACTGACAATTTGAACCATGAACCCATGTCCAATATATCAAGCAAGCTATATAAGATCTTAATTTTATGTTTTTAAATAACTTACAAAAAAGCGAATGGGGCCTAAGAAGCAACAGTGGATTCGATGAAGTAATTGACTTTTTTTTCACAATGGAAGGATCACACATCTCTGGTTTTCAACCAACCAAGCCAAAAGGGCCTTTTGAGAGTTAGGAGAGTTTCCTCTTTTGCTTCACCCTTAGTCTTGTAGGCGTTGGTCTTTATATGCCTAAGCATCTTCTCTAAAAATAAGTATAAGGGAAAAAAATAACTAGTGGCATAATCGTCATCTATGTTTTTCTTGAAACAATACGTGTTTGATCTTCTCTTTGCACCAATGCCACTTAAACATAGTGTAATCATCATTTACACTTTTCCCATAAGACTCTGTTTGGTTTGTGGGAAGATTTGGGTGGGATGAGAAAAGATGGGATGGGATGGGATGGGGAAGTGTAAAAAATTAAGTTTCCATTGTTTGGTTTTATTGGGATGGGATGGGATGGGAAAATGTAAAAAGGGGGAGAAGTTTACAAAGGAGCACTATTCTCCCTCGTCCTCCTCTCGACCGAACAGAGTGGTGACTAAGAAGAGAAGCGGCGGATCTGAACCCATCTCCGACTTCCCTCTCCCACTCTCTCTCCCTAATCTTCTTATCTCTTCTCCTTCTTCTTCCCCTCTTCCCCCATTTTCTCTCTTGCTCCATTTCGTCACCACTACTACAAGTTGCAGCGGCAGTAGATCTGCACGTTCCATCTCTACTCTCTCACTCTCTCTCTCTTTTCTTTTTCTTCTTCTTATTTTTTCTTTTTCGTTTTTTGTCTCCACCACTCTATCACCACTGAACCAGGAATGACGAGAGCGGCGGCGACATACCAGTGGATCAACGTCGACTTCGGCATGGTCATTTTACAGGAGTGGCGGTGGCGTATCAGTGGATTCCTTCTCTGTTAATGCACGTACCAGTGGATTCCTTCTCTGTTATGGGAGGAGGGAGATGGAAACTCAAGTTTTCTCATATGGGTCACACTGTTTTGGTGCGACCCCGAATTCGTGATTTTGGAATCTCGCATCCCACTTTTTTCTCATCCCATCCCTTTATTTCCCTCAAAACAAATATGAGAAAAGAGAATATTTTTGGAATATTCCCGTTTTCTCATCCCCATCCCACAAACCAAATGGAGCCTAAATGACTTGTATTTGCTTTTCATGCTAAGCTAGCATCATCTAGACCTAAACAATGAAAAAAATTAAAAGATTGCATGTAATACTTGTATAGAGAAGAGGAACACCACGTAAAACCCAAAAGCTTAAGCTATTGGGTTATGAGTGACATTTGTATATAAGTCTCATGCACCTCTCATTCATTTCTGATGTGGATTATCTTTAATTGTTCATACACATGGTTTTTGAATTGCCGTTGACCCAGATGGTCAGACCGTTTGGCCTGGGAACCGTTCAGGCAACCGATTTCGTTTTACCCTAAATCGGTCATTAGCAAAAAATCGTTGAATCAATTAACAACTCGTTGACCTGAGTGGTCGAACCATCAATCCGTTCAACATTTTTTGGTCATTTTGTATTTTTAATTTTTATTGTCAGAATGGCCCATTCGTTCGAACTGGATGATCAAATTATTGACCTGAAAAGTGGTGGCCAGAGCGATTCCATTTATGGGTTGTTTTTAAAAACCATGCTCATACGTGAATCCCAACAATAAATGGGTTTTTTTTAGATTTGACATGAAATCCAAAAATAACAGTCTCCAAATAAGTCAAGGCTTGAGATCAGAGTTCAATTCTAAGTTTCTACCATACCATTATAGGCTCCACTTCTAATTATCACCATTTGTATTTTTGTTCAAGCCCATATCTTGATAATTGGTATAAATCACTGGGTTTTATTTAAAAAACTAAAGAACAATGAAGGAAAAATCAATATTTCAGCCAAAGCTAAATGATGTTTTCAATTGCAAAAGGATAATTTTAAAATTTAAAATAAATTATATAAATCACATGTCATCACATGTGAGGGATAGTTTAAGTATTTTACCATTTATTAAATTTAATCATGTTTTGAGAGAAAATAATAGACCTGAGTCGCTCGTAACTTTGAATTTGGATGACATTAAGTTCCAACACTTTACCCACATAATCTGACATTGCACATCTCATACCTCCTTTTTTTGGTGATCCCGGTCTCATGCTGAGATGTCGATGTCAGATCATATTGGTAGGGGTTGAAACGCATTTTATTGTTAGGAGATCCCAACTTCCGTAACATAGTTTTGAAGTCTAAAATTGAATTTTCACATGCGCCACACAGCACATCCTAACCGTATATTGGTAGCATCTCAACTACAAAAATGTAACCCGATGTGGATGTGGGACGCCACCGGGGCGCAGATGTGGGAATGATTAAAATTGTGATTTATTGTGGAAAGTTACTCATCCAGCCTCGTTGCTCGAGCCTGGGCCTACCCGGCTCAAGTTGTAGTGCTAACTGTGTTCGTTGTGCAAAAGGAATTAAAAAAAAAGCTAAATAATTGCGCGCCAAAAGTGTCAATCGGAGGCGCAGGTTAATCAACTACGCACTCCACGCGCAAAATAAAAGCATCGATCTTTGGCAACTTAAAACCCTATGCATCTTCTGTCTGGGAGCAGGAATGCGCCTCACCTGTGCCGCTCTCTCCCCAAAGCGTTATATATAGACCAAATTCAAAGCAGTCAAGTTCATCTGGTTTCCCCCGTAAGACACTCGACTAACAGCGGGAACACAGACAAAGAAGAAAGAGAACACTAAAACAAACATTCTAAAAAACCTTTTTATTTTTTTATTTATTTTTTTTATTTTTTCAATGGCGAATGCAATTGATCAAGATCAGCAATGGCTGCTCAACTGCTTGACTGCGACACTGGATACAAACCAAGAGGTCAGATCCTTTGCTGAAGCATCGCTCAATCAAGCGTCCCTGCAACCAGGTTCATTTCATGAACTTCACATGTTTGTTTTGTTTGTTCGCTTCTTCTTCTTCTTTTTATAAATCCGAGGACGTGTTATCTTTTGGATGCAATGATCATTTGCTTTTATTGGACTGTTAGGTGTTTATTCTTCGTTGCATCGTTTTCTCGGCTATATGAACTTCTTTTTTCTCGTGAAAGTTATACAATTTGGGAGTTAATTGTGTTTAAATTGAGCCTGAGACGAAGTGTACTGTAGCGGTCGGTTACAACTGAGAAATTAGACGTTTATTTCTTCCATTCCTGAGTATGTTGGTAGGGAGTAAGAGTCTCTTTTACTGCTTCTTAGGCACACCGACTGCCACTCACCCTTCCGAAGCCACTTCCACATATCCAAGCACATGCAGATGCCGTTATTGGGAGAACTATGTTTCTTACATATGCTGCATTCGTTATTTATGGTTGCAATTTCCTTCTCAAAAGATGCGGTAGGGTGGCCTGGTAACTAATACTAGTACTAATTGGTGAGTTATTAATTGTTTTCTGCAGGTTTTGGAGGTGCTTTATCCAAGGTAGCTGTAAACAAGGAGCTTCCATTGGGATTACGCCAGATATCCTTTTGCCACATCTTAATCATATTTTTATTGTGTGTGTGTGTGTTTTAAATTTCCCTATTATACGAGAAATTGCAAGAGTTCATATGAGGACATGAACAACATATGTTGTTTTTTACGCTTAATATATTTTCACCTAGCTGCAGTCCTTCTGAAGCAATTCATAAAAAAACATTGGCAGGAAGGTGAAGAGACCTTTGAGCATCCGGTTGTCTCAAGGGAAGAAAAGGTCCACCAGATATTTTAGGATTCATCTCTAATTAATATGTTCCTATGATTTTTGTTGTTCTATACTTACATTAGATTTTTATATTATAACCTTCTACTGAGAGCCTTTTCCTTTATGCAAGGTTTGTAAGTATGCCTCTGCTTGTTTGTTTCCCTCTCTGATTAATGCCCATGTTTTTCTTCATTAATCACTTTTCAACACTATCATTTAGACTATGAGATTGTTTCTTGGTAACTAGATGCAAATGTTATAGATCACTGATTCTTTTCCAGTTGCTACTTTCATTTCTTCATTATTGTTTCTGTTGTGCCATAACTTATTCAGTCAACATAACAATGCCAGGCAGTTATACGCCAGCTTCTTCTCTTGTCGTTGGATGATCCTCATGGAAAAATCTGTACAGCAGTTGGAATGGCTGTAGCATCCATTGCTCACTATGATTGGCCGGAGGATTGGCCTGACTTATTGCCATTCCTCTTGAAGTTGATTGGTGACCAGACCAATATGCATGGAGGTAAATTCTTGGCTAGGGTTCTATTAATTGTATGTCATATTCAAAAAGTTTAGAACTGTGCATAGCATTTGCAGGGACTGAAAATTCATCGCCAGTTTATCTGAAAATAACTTGGCTCAAAATTCCAATTGGTTATTTCTTGAAGAAATTGTGCTATTTGGTTTTATCTTTTTAAAATTGTTTTAGAGCAATTTCATTTTTTTTTGCTTATTGAGTCATTATTAAATTTTTTTTACAGTGAATGGAGGTCTAAGGTGCTTGGCTCTTCTCTCTAGTGATTTGGATGATACTGTAGTACCAACATTAGTGCCTGTTCTGTTCCCATGCTTGCATTCGATTGTATCATCTCCCCAGGTTATTTCCCTCTCCTTCTTCCACCCTCCCTCCCTCTCTCTATACATAGACACATATAACCTAAGATTTAGGTTTCATTTATTTGCAGAGCATTTTCATTTGCACTAGTACAAATGCATAAGAGTGCAATGTCTGGTTCCCTTTTGCTATGGGTCTTACCTTACTTTGCTTCAGGTTTTGTTTTATTTCATCTGCATTCCCAACAAATAAAATAAGGCAAAAACTAAAACAAAAGTAAATCAGAATTTGCATTCCCAATTTTCCATACTTTTGCATCAGTGCAAATGAAATTGCACTGCAAACAAACCAGACCTTAGGAACATAGATCATAAGTGAAAGTGCTTTTCCAAAGATTGAAGGGGCTCATTTGATAGGGTCCTATCTGAGCAGCATAAGGGAGTTCCTATTAGGCTATTAGCAAAAGGGCATTATGAATATTATTTAGTTAGTGGTTTAACAGGGGGCAAGGGAATGAAAACATTGCTAAGCTCCCATAGGCCCAAAAACATAGGCATAGGCATATTCTAAAGCAGAGGAAGTGAAGCCAACAAGCCTACAGACCAGAGGCTAAGGAAACATTTATTCTCACTAGATTAGAAGTTAATTCTACTTCCACCAATCAAATGAAGCTAGAAGCCCAATTTGGATCCAAGAGGTAGATTAATCCAATGAAGGATGCTATAGCCTATATATACTAACATAGTAAAAAGAAGCATAAGGGACTGTGATGGGTATATTGGGGCTATAATAACTATACTTGGTTTTTGATTTTTTTGTTGGATATATAATATTCTTTCTTTTTTGTTCATCTATTTTTCTCCTAGTAACAAAAGAGGCAGAAACTTTAGATTGTATTAAAAAACTGTTGCAAGATACTGATATTTTTTCAATCTTCTGTTAAAAAGAAATATGATGGATTCTTTTTGGGTGAATGCTGAGTTAAACAAATTCTATTAATTGTTATTAATTTTAATTTATATGTTATTCTTTTTCCCTTTTTTATGTTAAAAGTTCATTGAGAATTTCATGAACTGAACCAAGGTTCAAAGTATCAATACAGGCCGATACGCCTTACTGGCATATTGGCCTGTATTGGTGCATTTTTTTTTTAATTTTTTTTCAAATATTGTTTTGAGGGGTCAGTTTAAGGCCCGGCTACCCTCTGAACCATGGTCTGACCCGAAACACCCCCTGTAGGGGCGTATTGGGAAGGCCATGACACGATACTATATGTATCGGCCGATATGTAACAATATTTTGAACCTTGAACTGAACTGTGATAACATCAAGCCTCTTGCATCTCTTTAGGAATTTCCTTTGCATGAGAGCCACCTCAGTCCATGTTAATCAATGATTTGCTCTCCTATCGTACAAGATGTTTTTTCCTCAAACATTAGAAGATACCAGTCTGTATTTTGGCTTATTTTACCTTGTTTATTTTCTAACCTTATCTATATTTTGTTTCTAGGTATATGACAAGCCTTTGCGCATGAAGGCACTTTCAATAGTTCACTCATGTACTTCCATGCTGGGGGTGATGAGTGGCATGTATAAGGTATCATGTGAATTCTGGTATTTGGTTTGATTCGGTTATTCTTTAATGAAATATCTGAGGTAGGATCTATTTGTTCAGAGTGAAACCAGTGCATTGATGCTGCCGATGCTTAGATCATGGATGGAACAATTCTCCATTATATTACAACCTCCTGTACAGTCTGAGGATCCTGATGATTGGAGCATCAGGATGGAGGTAAATCTTTTTTTTTTGGTCTGTAGAAACTTAATATTATTATTTTGCTAAAGAGTATAAACACTCTGCTGATGAAAGTCTGATATCATGAAATTTCAACTTCCAGGTGTTGAAATGTTTGAATCAGTTTGTTCAGAATTTCCCGAGCCTTACAGAATCAGAGTTTTCTGGTATGCCAAACAAGAAAAAAAGCCCATGTTTTACTTTATCTACTTGTCGGGATTTTTAGGTTGTCATATACAGACCCAGTGCAAATCCATTTTGTTGCAGTTATAGTGACACCTCTGTGGCAGACATTTGTGTCATCTCTAAAAGTCTACGAGCAATCATCAATTCAAGGTTCGGATGATCCCTATTTGGGAAGATATGATTCAGACGGTTCAGAAAAAAGCCTCGAGTCCTTTGTCATCCAGGTATTGATTTTTGTATCACATGCTTTTTTAACTGGATATGTCATCATGCACCATTGCCAAACCAAAGTGTCAAGGGCCTGATACTTATCACCTTGGGCACCTTGATTGGCATGCCAACATATAGATCCTGACAGTATTGCATGGACATATACAGAACTTAAGTTTTTAATTTCCAATTCAGTGTGTCATTTGCAACAATTTTAATAATTTATTTTGCAAAATTTTGATGTTGACTTGCATAGTGATGCACTTAAGGTAGTTGTCTAATGATTGCTTGGTTATGTCTTGAGGCAATAGTTATATATGTAGGATGGGGTGTGGGTCCTATCAATTTAAGATCTGGTGGTTGGCTTTGTTTGTGTGTGTGTGTTTCTGATAATTGAACTGGGCTTTGTGGGTTGAAAGAGGGGCTTTAGGTGATCAAGGATGAAAAATAGGATCCAAGTGCATAAGAAAATGTTAACACATTTTAACAATTTATGCCATGGTTGTGAAAACTGGACCGGACTGGTTGACCTGGGAACGACCATAGGTCTGGGCCTGGTTTTGGACCCCAAAACCGTCCAACCCGGGTTTGAACTAGATGGTTGGACCTTTTGACCCAGGAACCAGTGGCCAAAGCGGTTCCGTTTCCGGTCTGGTTTTCAAAACCATGATTTATGCAAATTCAAGTACATAAGAAAATGTTAACACATTTTAACAATTTATGCAAATCCAAAATCTGGTAGAGTTTGGCTTTTGTCTATATGTGGCTTTGGGTGTGTTCTGGGTTTATTTTTATCTTTGTAGGGGTTTTTGGTTGTGCCTTTCTGTCGGGTGAAATCTTATCACTTTTCTTTTGTATTTCTTTTTCTTTTTAATGAAAAATTTCCTTATTAAAGTACATAAAAATGGGTGTTCCATGTTAATGGATCTATACTGGATAATACATCCAAGAAACATCTATAATAACATTCAAGAAACATCTACAAAGATTTCTGTCTTTCAACTAAAAAATAGAATGGAAAATAAGTTGAAAGATTCCGTGATTTAAAAGGCGTGCCTAAGGCATGCCTAGGTGCACAGGTGAGGCACATTTTAGGATATGCACCTCAGCTAGGTCCCAGGTGCAACACTTTCAAAAGGCACAACTTGGTCTGCCTTGCGCTTAAGCTCAGGTGCACACCTTTTGAAAATCTGTGCACTTTTTTTCTGTTTTTTTGTGCTTAGAAGCTAGGCCGGGGGCTCCATCCCCGGTCCCTGATCAAGCTGAAGCTTCAAAAATATTCCCATATTTGTTAATGTTGTTCATTCATTCATCATAATAAAAGATATTTTTAAAAGACACTTAAAGGTATGAAACCTTTTTTTTATAGGGATTAAGAATTTAAGACCCTGATATGGACTTATTTGGGCTTGCCTTGAGGGGTTTGGTATCAAGGCAATTCATAGAATCATGAATGCATAATGTTTAACATCACATTAGCTATTTAAAGTAATGCAATTGGGAAAAAAATAATAGGTTAAGAGGTTACATGCTTGGATATGTTTTATATGTTATGCTTGATTTTATTTTTAAATTTTCATTTTAAATATGCTTTACATGTTATGTTTATGTATTTTAATTTGTGATAATAGTTTTTTTTTAAACATTTATTTTTAAAATTTAAGTTTATATTATTAGTTAATAATGCATTTAATATTTTTAATATTTTGCATTTTTTTTGAAAATTTTAGCTTTTTTTTTGTTTTTTTTTTGCATTTTTGTGCCTTGGTTCAGAAAGGTGTACACCTTGCCTTGCACCTTGGGCACAAAATGGCCCTTATCCTTTTAAAACACCGGAGGGATTCTCTGATGAAGTAAGAAAACAAAGGAAAAACATTGTAGTTATAATTTGATAACCATTATTGAAAATAGAATATATTTTGGAAACAACTAGAGATAGAATAAGAAAAATTCTATGGTCATAATATGTGGCACACAAGATACAATTAGAAAATTGTTGTGGGGCATCTGTCCTAAAGATGTTTAACGACCTCCTACCATGTTTGGGGGTGCTTCTGTCATAGATTATTTTGATGGATTATTGGAGGTCAGATGGTGGATTTGGACGTGCCACCAAATGAACCCCCAACCACTAGAAAGCAAAATTTTAGCAGTTAGAAGTTTGCTCCATGCTACCAAATGCAACCAACTTATTATTTGTTGAATAAGTTGGTCTTGCTATTTATCCTCTGTTGATAAGTATATCTCTTTGGATGAATTTAAGGTCTTAATGGGTTATTGTTGTCCTGATCCCAAGTGTTGTTGTTTCTGAAAAATCTGATGGGTAAATTGTTTTCTTCGTTTGCACAAGGAAAACAATTACCATTTTGCTTGGTAGGCAGCCTCCTAGCTTAGACTGCACTAGGTGGTTGGAACCTAGGAGGGATATTCCAACATTTGGCAATTATTACACAAAATGCACTCAGCAACTGTTGCCTACTTCATGTTCACACCATACCTTGTTCATTCTTCATTTCTATTTATTTATCATTTTAATTGTAATATAACATATGCACTACAAGTTGGTAATTTTCCCTTTTAAGTTATTGGTGCTTATTCTAATATCTTGATTCAATATCAATTCTGTAGATTCCAGCAATCTTTTATTTTCTATTTCTACTTTCTTATGCTTTCCATTATTTCATTAATTTGCAGTTATTTGAGTTTTTGTTGACCATCGTGGGTAGCTCTAAATTGGTGAAGGTAAGCTCTGGTTTATTCTTCAGTCAATATATTTCAGTCTCCTGTTTTCCCCCACATTTTTCAGTTCTCATGGTTACTTTTTTACTGTATGTAATGTTGTCTTGAAATTTTGAAGGTCATCATGAAGAATGTCAAAGAGTTGGTATATTATACTATTCCATTTTTGCAGATAACAGAGCAACAGGTATCTCTAACTTCTAGTTTGTAAACCATTTTAACTTTGCATAATGTGTGCGAAAGTTTGTCTTTCTAAGGATGCCTATGTTAGTGAACCATTCTATGCCACAAAATTGGAGACTATCAGCCTTGGCATATTGCATATAGCCACTTTGAACCAACTGCTGAGGCAAGGGGACTCCTATCCCCTTTTTTCCCACCCTTATAGATGATTACCTAATTTCAAGGGTAAACAATGTGGGTTAATTTTGGGCTTGGAGGGTAGGGAGTGAAAGAGTGATGGTACCGTTTTTCTTCTTTTAACAGTAGATGCCATTTATTCTTTAATTGATTGTGGCTGAATTATTCAACAAGTCAGATGAGATCATTCCTTTTTTTTTTTTGTGAGGATGGGTTGAAGGATAGGGTGAGAAACTTGGGCCTTTTAAAAAGCTTTTTTAAGGAGCTAACCAATTCAAAAGTCAATCGGGAAGGAGGTGTATCACTAGGACTGTAGATGATCTTCTATGCACATGACTAAACTATCTTAGTGTAATTTCTCTCATTTTATTACGCATTGGAGCTATTCCTAGGTTCCTTCAGATGACTTCATTTTTAATCCTATCCTTTCTAGCTTTTCCACATATCCATCTCAACATACACATTTCTGCCACACTAAAGTTTTTGGATGTGCTGTTTCTTGACTGCTCAACATTCTGCTCCATACAACATTTCTGGCCTTAAAACCATTAATAAAAATTTCATTTTAACTCCACTTTGCTCATCCTACTCTAATTCTTTGGGCAGCATCCTCCTCAATCTCCCCCTTGTTATGAATTATCGAACCAAGGTAACGGAAGAGGTCATATTGAATTATCTGTTGGTCTCTAATCCTAAGTGTATTCTGATTTGCCTCCTATTCTTATTAATTTTACATAGCATTAGGATGATTGCTATTTTAATCTTATTATTTTAAAACCTCTTGTCTTTAAGGTATTTGTCCATAGACCAAATTTTGCATTTAATTCTTCATTAGTTTCATCAATTAATACACTGTGATCAGCAAACAATAAGCACCATGGTACCTCTTCCTGATTCCTGAATATGTTTAGTTAATTCATGTATGATGCGTCATCATCATCATCATCATCATGAATCTTAATCAAATTCCTTTTCTCTCCTAGTGGGATAATCTAGGACTTTGGGGAATATGGATTTTGAAACTCCTAATGTCATAGCACTACTCAAGTCATTGGATTATGTTTTCCTTGAGGCTTGAGCCTTCTAGATTGGATGCCAGTATTTGAACTGTTGACCCCTCTTTTATTTTCTTTTCTTGTGCGTTATTTTTTCTCTCTTCTTCAAGTCTTTTCTTCTTCTTCTTCATAGCCTTTCTAGTGAAACAGATTTAGAGTTGGCTAGTGCTCCCTAAGATTAGGGGTTTTTGCTGGGAGTGTCTTCCACTTGAAAATTAGCACTAATGTGAAAGTCTTCAAAAGAGACCAGGTTGGTTCATCTCCTCCCATTTTTGTTTTGTTTTGCTTGTGGAGAGTCCACTCACCATTTACATATCTCATGCAAGGTTTTGAAAACTGACCTGGAAATAGAACCTCTTTGGCCACCATTTTTTGGGTCAGTGGTTCAACCATCCAGGTCGAGTGGTTTGACCTGTGATGTCATAAATAAAATAAAAACATAAAATATTTATAAATTCTGAAAATGTACCATAAAATATTTTTAAATAATGAGAAATACCATCAGAATTAAATAAATACAAGGTAATGAGGCACATCAGGTCGGATCTGGGTTTTGAAAACCTGTTTGATGCCCTATATACCACAAAATATGACCCACGAACTGCCGTGGGGTTGAATAGTTTAGTGGTTCGACTGCCCGGGTTGGTGTTTTTTTGACTAATTCAATACTTTTTTTTTTTTGTAAAAAAGTGGTCCAGTCCAAAACTGAACCTGGAGCCATGACCGGTTCCCGGGTTGAATGGTCTGACCATCCAGTCTGGTCCAGTTTTCAAAACAGTGATCTCATGTGCTTTTTGTGAATAGCATTTTGGTATGGTTTATTTCTCTTTTTGGATGCAGATGGATTCCTCAAATGTAGCTGGGCTGTTTGATACTAATTTTCAAGTAATCAAATCATGCCAACCAAGAGGGAAAAGACTTTTAGAGATGCAGTAGGGAGGTTATTTTATTGTCAACATGGGAGGAAAGAAACAAAAGGATCTTCAAAGAGGGATCAACAATCAAAGAGGTTGTTGTTGAAAGTATAACAGTGATGGTTGGATGCTGGGCAAAATCCATGGAATTGTTTGCTCCATTTTCAATAGATGACATTAGAGGATGAAATTGGGTGATCAATCGATAGGAGAAGCCACCAAGGACAAGGCAGCTGAAATTGAACTTTGATGGGTGCAGCTTCAAAAATCCTGGACTGTCAGGAATAGGAGGGGCTTTTAGAGATGTTAGAGGGAATACCATTGCAATTTTCTGTGTCGATTGGTGTAGGCAATTCATTGAAGGCAGAACTAATGACTGTACTACAAGGCTTAAGGATAGGGAGAAGTATGTCTTTGCGACATAAAAGAGGAAAGGGAGTCTAAGGTGGTATGTGCTGGATTAGAAGCAACATTCAATGTATGTGGTAGCATTGTTATATGATGAAAGATATCAGGTTTTTGACATGGGAGCTGAAGGTCACATGCATTTGGATTAACAGGTAGGGTAACAGCTTGGTAGACATTTTGGCCAAGCAAAGTGGCAACAAGGGATCATTTCTTTTGGGCAAAAAATGTGATGTACAGAAGAAATATGATGGGAAACAATTGTATATACGGAAAATCGAAAGGGGGTGCTGAACATTTTGCACATATGGTTTTCCCATTATCTAATAAAGCTTTTTTTTTTAAGAGTAATAAAATAAATTTTATTAATAAGGAAAAAGGCTACAAAGTAAGAGGTGACAAGATGGCACCTCATCAATACAAAGCATCTATTGATAAAAAAAATACAAACTAGTGACCGTTAAATCTGAAATTCAAGCACATTCCAAAAGTTCTCCCCCAAATCTGATATGCCAATCTGTTCAAACTCAAGGAGCACCAGAGCCCAATATGAGACATAATGCCCAACTAAAGCCACTAGCACCTCAATACTTTTGGACTTGTCTTCAAACATTCTCCTGTTCCACTCATTCCAAATAACCCAGCACATAGCAAAAGGAGTACAACTCCCTACTCTTCTTGCTTTTCTTCTTCCATTGATCTTTGATCAGGAAGAGAACAACTCAGCTGATGATCTTGGCTGGAAGGTACTTACTCCAAATAGATTCAAGTAGTGGTTAATAAACATTGAATATGGAGAAGTTTGTTTAACTAATTAATAAATCAATTAACAATTAATTAAATGAGTATAAAATGATTAATAAATATGGAATTGATAAATATTTAAATAAGTTTTAAATTATAGAGCATTTAATAATTAATTAATTAAAATAGGTATTTCAATTAATTGCTTCTTTTAATAAGGATTTTATTAACTGAAATAATAATTATTTTAATTAATTAGAAACAATTAATTAATTAATGATATTATTAGATAAATATTAAATAATGGTTATATAGTTAAATAATCATTATTGGATATTTAAAATAAATAATGACATAATTATTTTAATAAATGCATAAATAGTAATTTTAAGTAAATAGTTATTTAAGAAATATTAATAAAAATAAGTAAACAATAGTTATTAAATTTTGAATAAATAATAAAATAATCATTACCAGATAATAAAATAATTAAATAGGTAATTAAATAATAAGTATACTAATAATATAAGAAAACAAAAATAATTATAATTAAATAATACTTCAAAAATACTTATATAATTAGATAATTAAATAATTGGTATTAAACATTTAAAAGAAACAATTAATTAATATGTTGAAGTCTATATGGGGATGATCTGCAGATATTGGGTACCGGTTCTTTCATTCTGGCAAAAAAATTGGGGGCCATCAAAGCAAGATTAAAGATTTGGAAATTGGAGAAAAATGAGTTTAGATACTAAAAAGAATGCTCTCCTGAGTACCATAAAGGAAATTGGTTCAGTAGAAGAGTTGGGTCCTATTTCTGAGGAGCATAGACTAAAAAGATCTCAGGCAAAGATGAAGTTTGATAAATTGGCAGTGTCGAAAGAAATCAAATGGAGGCAAAGAGTTAAAGTGGCATGGTTGAAAGAGGGGGATAGGAATGCACACTTTTTTTACAAAATGGCAAATGCAAGAGCTAGAGCCTCTGTAATTATCAGGTTGGAGGGAGAGGGCAGGGTGGGTGTCTCTAAGGCAGATATAAGTTAGTGGCTACCATCTTTTATAAAAAGTTGTACAAGGAGTCTTGGTTCTTCAGACCTTTTCTTAGGTCCCTTCCTTTTAATTAGTTGAGTGATGTGCAATCATCTCTTATTGAAAGACCCTTCACGGAGGAGGAAATAAAAGCAACAATCAAGTTGTTGGCTGATGAGAAGTCTCCAGGGCCTGATGGTCTTACAAACCTTTTCTATATTAAATCTTGGGATGTGGTGAGAGGGGTTCTTTGTAGAGGAGTTTGAATACTACCTTTATGACCCTCATTCCAAAGATTGAAGGTGTAGTGAATATTAAGGATTTCAGGCCGATTGGTCTTCTGCATAGCTTCTACAAAGTCTTAGCTAAAGTTCTTGCTGAGAGAATGAAAGGGGTTCTTGGTAGTGTCATCTCAAATAACCAAAGTGCTTTTGTTCCGGGTAGGCAGATGCTGGACTCTGTACTCATTGCCAATGAGCTCATTCATTCCAGGAAAAAAGAAGGTTCCCAAGGGCTGATTTGCAAACTTGATATTGAAAAGGCCTATGATCATGTCAATTGGAGATGTGTTGATCTTGTGTTACAACAGATGAATTTTGGGTAGAAATGGAGGAATTGGGTTAAAGTTTGTACCACCTCTCCAAAGTTCTCAGTTTTGGTTAATGGACAATCCATAGGCTTCTTTGATAGTTCCAGGGGTCTTAGACAGGGTGATCCCCTGTCTCCTCTACTCTTTATATGTGTAATGGAGATCCTCACTTTATTTTGTAAGAAGGCTGTAGTTTCCGGTGAGTGGGAAGGTTTTGCAATTGTTCCAGGGGGAGAGAAGGTGAATATTCTCCAATTTGCAGATGATACATTATGCTTTGTGGATGCCTCCCCTTCACAGGTGGAATTAATCCTTGGGATCTTATCTTGGTTTGAAGTGATTACTGGTCTAAAAGTCAATTGGAACAAGAGCCAAATTATCCCAGTGGGCTAGGTTTCCAACTTAGCAGATTGTGCTGGTATATTAGCTTGTCAGATTGAGTCCCTTCCAGTCAAATATTTGGGGCTCCCTCTGGGGGTGTGTGGTGGTTCTTTTGCAATTTGGGACCCAATAATTGAGAGAATGGAAAGAAAGCTAGCTTCTTGGAAGGCAAAATACCTTTCTTTTGGGGGTAGGGTGACTCTGATTAAGAGTACTCTCTCCAATTTACCCACCTATTTCCTGTCTCTTTTCTTTATTCCAAACAATGTTGCAAATCAGCTTGAAATACTTCAAAGGAGTTTTCTTTGGAGAGGTTGAGAGGAGGAGAAAGAAGTGCATTTGGTGAGTTGGGAGCAAGTTTGCATCCCCAAAGATGAAGGGGGGTTAGGCATAAGGAAGTTGAAATCTTTTAATTCTGCTCTCCTTTGCAAGTGGATTTGGAGATTTGCAGCAGAAAATGATGCCTGGTGGAGATTTTTCATTGCTAGCAAATATGGTGTGGATTGGGGTAATTGGAGAACGAGGGACCCTCCTCCCAATTGGGGTAACTCTTTGTGGAAAGGGATAATGATGAATTTTTCAGCTCTGGTTGCTGGGGTCTCAATTAAAGTTGGCAATGGTAGCAGGACCAAATTCTGGAAGGACTCTTGGTGCTCAGATGAACCCCTTGCTGGTTCCTTCCCTCTCCTCTTCCAGTGTGCTTCGGATCAAGAGGCTTTAGTTGCAAAGTGCTATAGTGTATCTGGCGGTTTAGCTCTTTGGTCTCCTTCATTTAGAAGGAACCTTTTTGATTGGGAGGTGGATGAGGTTTTGAGTCTGTTGACCTGTCTTTAGAACCAAGAGCTGGATTACAGTTCAGAGGATAAGTGGCAGTGGAAGTGGCACTCAGATGGTGTGTTCTCTGTCAAGTCTCTGGCTTTTAACCTCTGTAGTAGGGGTATTCCTGATTTCCCTGACCGTCAAGTGTGGAATCCCACCAGTCCAACTAAATCTAACTTCCTAGTTTGGACTATGGCTCTTAATAAATGTCTTACTAGAGCTAACCTAGTGAGAAGGGGCATTCATATTTTGGACCTGTCTTGCAGTATGTGTGGGAGTAGTGCTGAATCCACTGACCATTTGTGCATCCACTGCCCGTTTTCTGCTCAGCTGTGGAGCCATTTCCTCAGCTCCATGAATTTAAGTTGGGTTATGCCGAAGTCAGTTAAGGAGCTGTTGTGTTGTTGGAAGCTCATGGATTTGAGCAAGAAAAAGAAGTCTGTTTGGAAGATGATTCCAATTGCTGTGTTGTGGTCCATCTAGTCTGAGAGGAATAGAAGGATTTTCTGTAACAAGGCTTTAAGTCCGGAAGAGCTAATTCAGAAAACAGTGGGCAAACTGATGTCTTGGGTGTCTGTGTCTGAGGATTTCAGAAATTGTAATGTGTCAGCTGTTTTTCTTTCTAGTTCCTGGTGGAATGTGTAATTGCTGATTTGATCAGTCAGCCTTTTCTGGGACTGATCTCAGCCTCCTGTGTGTAATTTCTTCTCAATAAATATTACTTTACCCTTTCCCAAAAAAAAGAATATTGAAATAAATACATATTTAGAAGTCATAATTAAATAGTTAATAAAACTAAGTAAAAGTAATTATAATTATATAGTAATTGTAATTAAACAAATACTTAATAAAGTAATAGTTATTAACAATTAACTATTAAAAAATAATTGAATAATTAAGCATTTAATAAATAGTTAAATGTTAATTAAAAGTTATCTATTGTTTTATTATTGTTTATGATATTTTGTTATTTGTACTATTATTATACTTTTTTGATAATAAAGGAGATATTTTGATAATAAAAATGTTCCATGTGGGGCCTTCAAGTGTGAAAGGAGGATGTGAAAGTATTTTTGGAAAACAAAAAGAGTAATTATGGTACCGTCCCGTATGGACTAATACATTTAAGGCTGAATGAAAAATGCAACTGAATGCTCTTAATTGCTCTTAAAATGTATGGTTGCTCTTCATCATTAAAGCTTAAGAGCAAACAAACAGAGCCTTTGTCTGTCAAGGAGTGTTCAAAAACAGTTACAATAGATCCATATTTATTAACTGTACAGAAAATACTACCTTCTGACTTAATGCCCCATGAATCAAAAGAGGACTATAGAAACTACAGAAACTTCTTTGAATGTCTGCTACTGAGTGCTAATAGTGATCCAGAACTACAGTCCTTTCTGAAAAGCAAAAGAAAAAGAAAAGAAAGAAAGGGAGCATGACAAGTTGGTTTCATAAGTTGTTTCAATTTTACTAAGGCAGTTAGGACAAAAATGGCAAATAATTGGAGAAACATGTGTAGTGCTTGTGTTTGCAATATGCATCCATGACCATCCAATTGTAGATGGTTATTTTAATTTTCTCCCATAATTTATAGACATGGACATTCCCATAGTTGATAACCATTGTTGCAAGAACTGCAAATGAATTTGATGCTTACCTCTGCAATTGCTCATCTGTCAGATGAAGTGTTCTACTAGTTTACAAGATTTTTAAATATTATTTCCTTTCATATTCCCCAACCTTTAGTTTTCTCTAGCTATGTTTTTCTTTTTTTGGTCTTATTTTGTTCATACGTTATTATTTTGTAGGCTCATACTTGGTCATTGGATGCTAACCAGTATCTTGCCGATGAGGATGAAGTTACTTATAGTTGTCGTGTTTCTGGTAAGCAGTTTTTTAGTCATCAGATGTTGCCTGGTTCTTACCAGGGTTATCAAAGTATTGGCTAGTCAGCTGAGGCCGAGACTGATAGCATCACAGAAGTACAATATAATACTTGTACTTCTGTGATTAGCATCTCCTTTCACCTTGTTTGGCCAACACACCAGCAAAGCAATTAGCATTTCTTATTCTCTTTTCACCCAATGCAAGAAATAATTGAAAACCCTGATGCAATCAGGGTTTGTTGTAAAATTGTGATGCTTTGGGAGAGATAAGAGAGTTTATCTCTTCCTTCTTCTTTCTTGTATTTCTTTGGTTTAATGAATTCAATTCAGTTATTGAACAAAATATTATTGATAATTATAGAAATATCAGATGCATTATACTTCAAGAAAGTTCCTGTTATAGTGAGAGACTCTACAATCAGCAATAAGTACCAAAAAACCAAACAAAAAGACGGGAAGAATCAGAACTTAGCTTGCAAGGACAGTACGAGGGATGGGGGAACATTTTTGAATTCCTTTGATACCTATACCTAAGATAGACCTGATGCCATAGCCTTCCTGGTAACTTCCTTAACTTGGGATTCCTTTTTGATCAATACTCAACGATTCTGTTGCTTCGTTTCTTCCATATGGAGCACATAACAGCCAAAGGAATAGACATCCAAACTAATTTACTTTTGCTGTTTAATCCTTTAATATGCCATTTGGATGATGTGTCACTGGTGGAACAAGGGGAACATCAACCGGGGTTGGCCCTAAATCTTTAACATAAATGGATAATGAATGAATAGCTGATTTGCTGACACTATTTCATAATGGCAAATTGCTTAATGGTGAAGGAATTTCAATACTTCTTTCCTTAGGTATTAACCCAACATTGCAATTGCAATTGCAATCCAATTTCTGGATTATTTTGGTCATTGTATTTGCAATATATAAATATATATATATATATATATATATATATATATATATATTGGTTATTATCTAAAACTTCCTTCCACCCTTGTAACCTTCTCTTAAAGTTAACCTCACTGTTTGATATATCTAGAGATCCCTCTCTCAGACATTTTTTAAGTTTAACATATACATGTTTCATTTAATCAATGGTAATCAACTGCTCTACCCTTAATTAATTATATATTATAAAAATATCCCTATTTTATTTCTATAATTCAATTTTACCCCTTGTTTCATATTCACTCATTTAACAACTCACCAATGATTCAGTTTGAGTGAATGGATGATTCTATTTTTGAAAATTTGGTTCAATGGACAGAGTTGAATAGAGGGGCATCATTATAATATTGCATATGCTGTTTATGTTCTAATGAAAAATGTCTAACAAGGGAGTCTATGGGCCTATTCGTTTCCTTTTAACTCTTATCTCTTAAGAGGAATCTTTTAACTTTAAGAGAAAATTTGTTGTTTGTTTCCTCTTATCTCTTAAAGTGCAATCATACAATCTTTTGTTTTCCAATGATACCCCCAAAAAGATAAATAAAAACTCTCATATATGGGGTCAAAATGGATATTTGATAGTTTTCAGAATTCAGAACAACATTCTCTGCATTCAGAGTTCAGAGGAAAGAAAAGTTTACCAATACCAATGTACCTCTTAATGTAATTATTACACTTTCAGATGTCAGACTTCAAAGCAAATGAACAAACCCTATGGATGTATGGAAAAGTCGGGATAAATTTAAGAGAAAGGTGGGGAAGTTAAGGGGAGTTTGAGATAATACCTTTTCTATTGATGCATCTGAAAGCATAAGCGAATGAATGTATTTTTAGGAGTTTGGATCTGCTCCTCACACTGACCTCATAGAACAAATCAGCCGTGTATTGGGAACATGTCCCCATGAATAACAACATACAGGTATGGGAGACGTTCCTGATGTATGTCTGGGGTGTGCTGTGAGGTCGGTGTGAGGAGCGCTCTGTGAGGAGTGGATCCGAACTTTATTTTGAGTGTGTGATTATTCAAAAAATGAGTTTTTTTTTTGGTATGTTGTATTGATGTTTAACTGGACCAGTGTGGCTGGCTCCTAAATATGAACTGCCTGGATTGTGGTAGGACTGTGGTTAAAACATTGTTCTAAAAGGGAACTGTCAAGTGGTTCACATACTTTTCTATATCTTTTAATTTCTATTTTTTTCAGTCAACTTATTTTTGTTGTTGATGTCGTGGTTGGTCCACGGCTCTTCCTGGTTCATTTTGGATCCTTTTTTTTTTTTTTCAAAATATTGCATGGCATATTCTGCTTAACCTTGGGCATGCTTGAATTTTCTTGCATAATTAGCTGAATTTGCTTGTTATTTCATCTTTTAGTACAGAGTTAGTTTGTTAAACTGCATCTTCTATCTTTTAGAATTTGTGTTGATTATTTCCAACTCTAGATTCTTAGAAGGCTATGGAATCTTATCACCTTTCTCATCCTTCATATGTAATGTTACTTTCAGGATCTCTGTTACTAGAAGAAGTTGTTGTCACTTGTGGTGGAGAAGGAATTACTGCTGTAATAGGAGCTGCTCAAAAGCGGTTTAGTGAGTCACAACAAGAAAAAGCGGCTGGTTCTTCTGGCTGGTGGAGAGTAAGTGGAAAATTTATCACTTCTCAATTTTAGATCTAATATTGGTGCTTCATGGCAGTGTTTTTCTACTATCTAGTTTGAAGACGAGACTCATTATTGGGGAACTCGAGAGGGAGAGGAAACTCTTTTGGCAAGTGGACGATAAAATTGCTATTGTGCGCTGTTAATTTATTTAATAAATAAATAACAGTAACTATTTTCATTACATAAAGTGAGAATAATCTGCCTACCATCCACAATGTTTGGAGTTGGATAGTAAGCAAGCTACAAAGCCAAGATGTACCTACCTCAGAAAATAAGAGTAAAATTAAAACATTACATATATGAACCCAGCCCTGGTAGCTGGTATTCCCCAATCAAGACTTTGCCTTCATGCCCCTGCTTTTGCTAAGGCATTTGCAGTCCGAAGCAATGTTTTTAAAAGGCGGTGGGGCAGAGCCAAAACACCCTGCTTCACCACCTCACACCTCAAAATGGTAAGGAGTGCATCTCATCCATATAACATTAAAATTCAAAAAACGTATATTAATTTATGAAAAAATATTAAAAGTATATTACTTTATTATAAAATACTGAACTTTAGTGAATTGGATACCCTCTTGAGTAAACAAAAAATCCTCGAGGATTGGATACCCCCTATTGGTGGCTGGATAAAGTTGAACTTTGATGGCAGTAGCTTGGGTGTGCTAAGGGATGAGGCTGGTAACACATGTGGATTATATTTGGGTCCAGTTGAACAAAGAGACACAGTCAGGGCAGAACTCTTGGCTGCAGTATTTGGGGAATGGGATTTTCAAGGTTGATGATGAAGGGAATTCAAAGATAGTTATTGGGTGGTTGAAGAAAGGAGAGGGGGTGGTTTGGCAATATAGGAATGAACTCAGGCGATTCAAAAGGCTGTCAAGGGATTTAAATATCATAGTAAGTTGGGTAAGAAGATCAGCTAATGGATTGGCGGATGGCTTAACTAAGCAAGAAGTTCATAAACAACAAATGTATTGGGCTCACCTGTAATAGAGTGGGATTTTCTATTGTAATGGGTTGTCACCTGCACGACTTCTTGTTGTAATTTTCTTCCTTTTAATAAAAAAATCTTTTCTGTGTTGCTGATCAAAAAAATATTGAACTTTAGAGAATGTTTATTTGGTTCGACTCAATGATCTTTTATGGTATCTCTCTCAACTAGACCTGTTCATGGGCCGGGCCGGGCTTTTACTCATCATTAATGGAAATACGCTAGGCTCGAGCCCGAGCTCGGCCCGACCAACGGGCCTATAACTTGGGCCCGAGCCCGGCCCTGATAAAAAGCCCGAAGCCCGAGCCCGAAGCCTGACCTAATGAAAAAATTACAATTTTCCTTATTTAAATTAGAATTAAAAATTCAGATGTTTTTTTTCCTATTTAAATGAATAATGGGTCTACAAGATGGTTTTTTTCCTTTTCTTTTACGTTTTAAAACACAGTTTTACATTCTTAAATCAAAAAATTTATTCAAATGGACATAATCACATAACTCATTTTAAGTCTAATTTTACGTCGGGCCGAGCCAGGCTATTTTGACAAAACCCGAGCCCGGCTCGAATTTATTGTGGGCCGGGCTTTTTGGCCCGAGTTTAAGCCCGCTGGCCTATAAACATGTTCAAGCCCTTCCGGGGGCCGGCCCGTCGGGCCACCCAGCCCATGAACAGGTCTACTCTCAACCCCTAGAAAAATTTTCTTGGCTCTTCAATTACTTAATATAACAATAGTAGTTTGTTACTAAATGTCTTAATGAGTTAATGCACCAAATGTAAGAATGGCATCTCCATTCATATATTTATCCAAGACATGTGAGAACAGGATCCACCAATCTACAAACTAAAAATGATAATTGTAATTTTTCTTTGGATAAAAATAAAAATAAATAAAACAGAAATTATTGATGCAAAATAAAAATCAAACAAATATTTCAAACACGTTTCCCACTCTAACTTAGAAGCCATTTAGTTTCAGTAAGGAAGTTGAGTGTGATGAAAATTATTTATTTAAAAATTTAAAAATGAAATTTATATTTAAAAATAGACTAAATTAAATCTAAGTAAAAGTGTTATTTTCTTTAGGTAGAAAAGGTTATAAATGTAAAAAGAATTTTCAAAATATCATATTAAAAATGATATCCATGTAATTAAAAGTAAAGGTATGATTTGACTATGAAATGATAAATTGTGTAAAAAATGATAAAAAAATGTAAATAAATTTAGTTCGAGATATGGATAAATCAGGAATTTATGCAAATTAAGTAAATATATTATTTTAATTAGGTAAAAAATGCTGCAAGCATGAAGCAAAATAAAGGACAAAATTTCAAAAAACATAGGATTCATATTAAACCAAATATATATGTAATGAATAAGTAAATGCATAAATTTGGTATGAAAGAAAAAATTGCTTCTTGAAATTACAAATACATTCAGTTTGTGTATCTATATCTGTATTTATATCCATTTCTATATCTATTTGTATACCATTTAATTTAGGTAGAGAAGATTTAAACATAAAACAAAGTGCAAAATAAAAAACCAAATATGTGGGGTTTAGATTAAAAGATTATGTGTAACAAAAATAAAATTTGCAAATTGGTTAAAAAAGAAATAAATTGTACTAACATACATAAAAGTTATAATATATATTATGTAATCTATTTATATATACATGAAAGTGAAATAATTATATACGTATACGTATATGTATATATGTGTCTGTATACATAATATAAATAGTGTAATATATATACTTTGAGGCTTATGCCATAAACCACCTTGAGGTTTACACCTGTCTTTCTGTTCTGAAATCCATTCTCCTTAACTTCACCTTTAGCCTTTTAAAACCTTTTACTAAGGCATCCAGTTGGTGAGCTTTTTAAATTGTTCCCTAGAGCTTGCACTTGCCTTACTAATGGTTCATTAACACAAGGAATCTTGTGATAAGCTCTCATCCACAATATTAATGTTTTACAACCTTTTTCTACTTTAATATCCATCCATCCATCCTTGTATGTAAACCAACATTGAAACCTTGGATGAAGATTGACCAACTTGAAGAAGTGGAAGTAGATGAGACACATACAGTTCGGAGAAAGATTGATGTGGAGACTGGTAGAGATGGAGGTGGAAGTCAGCAAGACATTCGGGGCCTGTGGTCAAAACAGTGAAGGGGGATAAGGTGCTGAGCTTGGATGGATTCAACTTATCTTTTTTTAAAGCCTATTGGGGTGTCGTTAAGAGGAAAATGATGGAGATGTTTAAGGAAGTATGGGAAGAACAGAAAATTGAAAAATGCTAATGGAACATTTATTTATCTAATTGCCAAGGTGGATGGGACATGTAGGATAAAGGATTTCAGAGCTATTGGCTTAATCTCTAGCCCATTTAAAATAATTGCAAAGGTATTATCATCAAGATTGAAGAGGGTGTTGCATTTGATTTTGGGTCCAATTCAAATGGCCTTTGTAGAAGGAAGACAAATATTAGATGGAGTGTTGATTGGAAGTGTGTGTGTGTGTGGATGCAAGGATTAGGAGTGGTGTGGTTGGAGTGATATGTGAAATTGATATGAAAAAGGCCTATGATCATTTAGATTGGGGGCTATTGAAAGATGTGATGTTGAGGATGGGTGTTGCGGAGAGATAGGGGTGCAAAATCTGATCCTATTTTGTCGGATTCAGATATCCCCATTTCAAATTTTCGGATTCAATCGGGTCAGATAATAGGACCAGATTAACAATCAGATCGAATTTGGGTCACCCCTATCCAATCCGAAATCCGATCCAATATAATATATATGCTATTTATTTATAAATATTGTATTTATATTGCATTTATTTTGCATTTATATTGCATTTTTATATTTATTATTTTTATAAAAAACATGTATATATCTATACTACTGTGAGGCCTGAATCCCTTTAGTTGCCGACACCCAAGAGATTGATTTTCCAACTGAAATCGAAATTAGATCCTCCTGAGTTCTAGCAATATTGTAAAATATCCTTTTGTTCCTTTAGTCCAAGTGGTGCTGATCACAGCAGCTGGAATGGATCTCCAAATAGCAGCAGCAAGTTTTGGCAGCCCCTTTAAGTCCCAGCTCCAAAGCAACTCCTCTACTGAACCAGGCATCACCCATGCAAGGCCTAGTGCAGAGAAATAATGGTTCCAAACTTTAACTAAACAGGGCAGTGAAGAAACAGGTGACAGTTATCCTCAACACCTTGCCCACACAGTACAGACCTCTGATCATGGAGTTGGAAGCCTGCTGTGAAGGTGAGCTTTGGTCAAACATCTGTCTAAAGCTGCAGCCCACACCAGGGCATTAACTTTTGAGGGGGAGGAAGGATTCCAGATTCTAGATGCAGGTATGTCTTCCAAGTTGCTTGCCAACTGATGGAGGACAAACCCACCTGGCTAAAAAAGATCTCCAGGTTAGATTGAAAAGAATAAAGTAATTTTACTCTATACAAATTGGAATTCTCATCAAACATAAGAGATTAGAGAAATAGAGTTCGTGCAGGCAGGTCAGTGGAGGAGATCCTTGAAGATAGGAGCAAAAAATTTCCTGTTCGAAGAGATGAGAATCAAGGGGAAGGTAAGCCTGAAGGTAAGGGAAGCGAAAAAGGGTACAATATTGCTGGAAGGATTAGAAGTGATCGAGTGGCTACGAGAGTTCATAGCTGGAGCCTGTTCAAAAGGTAAGCAGATAAACTGGCAGGATTT